TGTTGTGACGGTGTCCCGGTCATGTTTTGATGGTGTCCCGATCATGTGATGGTGGCGCGGTCATGTTGTGATGGTGTCCCGATCATGTTTTGATTGTGTCCCAGTCATGTTGTGACGGTGTCTCGGTCATGTTTTGATGGTGCCCTGGTCATTTTGTGATGGTGTCCCGGTTATGTGATGATGGTGTCCAAGGAGAAGATGGTCGATGTGTTGAAAACAGCAGCTGTTTCCAGATTTTTATTTTTGTCCCGGTTTGTATCTTGCTATTGGGGTCTCCAGCTGGGCTAATTTGTGGATCCAGTGCTAGCACCAATGAATTTGATGTTCTGTTCTAGATGAGAGATAGGAAAGATGCGAGCGCATTTGGTCATTGCATTTGCTGGCTTGCAGCAGCCGTGTTCCTTTTGCACCACACGCCACAGCTTTTCCCAGTCTAAGAACCAAGAACCAAACCTGAGCTTGTCAAACCAGACTTTCGGGAGCCAGTCAACTGAGGTCCGGACCAAAGCTTAAGGCTTTGCATCCAAACACCGAGCCCGGCCACCGAGCTTCCCGCCCCGTCCGAGCTTCCAGGTACAGCTTCGGTGTGACTCTCCTGCTGATGCTCTTGGGGGAGGTGCGCACCGCGGTTTTAAGCAGCCGAATGAGCTGAGCCGGCCTGAACCAGAGGATCGAAGATAAAAAAGAACTTGATCTGAAGCATGTTTTTGGATCTAAAAAAGGATCGATTCGATTCATCTTCCAACACAAGAACCCACTATTATTTTAATCATCGATCCTCTGGGGTGGGAGGGCTGGGACCGGCAGGACTGGGACGGGCGCACATGGGCACACCAGCCACCGGGTGGGAAGACGTGAGGCGTTTTGGTGGTAGACAGCTGGTTTTCTTCTCCGATCAAACACGCGGTACAGATGGTTGGGGTCCACCTTGGTACAGGAATGTCCACAGTGGCCCTAGAATTCAGAAATCCAATAGCAGGGGGCTTTCTGTCCATCTGCACTAGTACTGAGGACGTGCATGAGAATGTTCATCGGTGAGTCACCAAGCTTCATTTCTCACCAGTGGTTTGAGGTGGCTTGCCCTTTAACAGACAACATACCAGCAGCTGCAGACCCTTGACCAAGAATGCAGGGCAGCATTTGACTGTTTGTGGTGGTTTGGTTTCGAGCTCCAACCACAACTTCAAGGTCTTAGGAGGAGAGCAGGGACGAAGGCAGGTAGTGGATTCAGAGCTCCCCCAACAGGTAACGCAAACGGACAGAAGACCTTTAATCTACTCGAAGCGTCATGAAACCCCAAGCACCTTGCCAGTGTTTAAGACAACAACGCACCGCCTCTCGCCTCCACGTGGACGGGGCCTCTCGCCCTCCCGATGTGCCGTCCAGGACTGTGCCGAGGTGCAAGCGGACGAGGATGACTGCATGTCGCCCGAACGAATGGGACTGGGGATGGACGCAGCATCTCAAATACGCAGTCTGTGCCGAGTCCCGCAAATCTCAGAGCTGAAAGAGTCTCAAAGAGTCCAGACTAGTCCCAAATACACTAGTCTCAAATTATGGTCAAGAGTCTCAAGAGTCAAGACTAGTATTCACAAGCTTCTTGGAGGTTCGGCCGTTTCCTCCCAAAACCGGGGAGCCAAAGCGGCTGTTTTTGTCTGGAGGCAAACATAGAAACGCTTTGAGCACCAAAAAGCTCTTGGAAGGAATGAGCATCTCAGCTTGAACCAAACATGGGCGGGATACTATTTCGTGATCGGTCAAGACGGTGTGTGCGGTGCCGGGGCACGTAGAAACCAGCACCAGAGCTTTCGCTGGGTTCGTCAAGTCTCCTCAACAGAGGTCGGACGTCACTTTATGCTTGCTGCTGGCCAAAGAAAGGCCTCTAATCGTCTCCTATGTGAATATATATATATTCTGTTCTTTAGCTTCTCAGAGTTGGGGGTGATGAAGGGTAAGAGGAGATATCCTCTGACCACTACAATTCATGTGTCCCTTTTCCAAAAAGCAACACAAAGCAAACATCCACCGCACCACGGGGCCACGTTGGGGGGGAAGCACCGCGGCTAAGCAGTGCGCTAAGCCGTGGCTGGTGAGGTGGATCCTCCCTCGCAGGCTGGGAAAAGAGGTGGCAGGGAGAGGTGGGAGAGCAGTGAAGGATCGTTGGTGGGGAAGTGTGTCTAGTCCAATCCCATGTTCAAAAAATATCCACCAGTGAATCGTTTGGGAGCTGGAAGGGTGCATGTTTGTTGACTACTTTTTCATGAGGCTCCTTTTTCAAGAGCTACAAAGCCTCCCGGACTACGTGGGTAGGCCGTTAGCTTGGCTAGCTTGGCTAGCTTGCCCTGGGAAATGTGGAAATAGATCCGTATTTTGGAGATGTGCATTCTTCAATGACTTGGGAATGGATTCCATGGGCTTCAGTAAGCTTCAGGAAGAATCCAGTGTTTGGACTTGGGCTGAGTGAATTCTATGACCAAGTCTTCCCAAGTGGGCTTCAGTGACTTGGGCTTCAGTAAGCTTCAGTGTTTGGCACTTTTCAAAGACCCTGGAAGGACAGTGTCACCGCCTTTTTGTTCGCTGCACAAAGACACGCAATGTGGCAACAGGGCCGTGGCTCAAACCAACTGGGTACCCAAAGAGGTACAGGGTGAATGCAAGAGTATGCAAGAGTGATTTCCATGACATGCTGCTTTAGTTATTTGGTCCTGCCCAGTCAGTGGATAACCTTTAAACCATTTTGGGGGGGATTGGTGAGGAAAGAGAAAGGTCCACATAGACGCTGTTCATTTCGCCCGTCGCGCATTTCGACCCGATGCTGCGGAGCGAGCGGAGCGAGCTTCGCTGGGCGGCCACACAGGGGGCCTTTGCGCTGTGGTGCCCTGAGAGACATGAGGAAGAATTTGGGTGTCATTTGTTCAAGAACACCCAGTACACAGAGCTGCATACTGTTTTCAGTACATCTCAGAGAGACCACATATTGTTTCATATGGATGATTTGGTGAGTATCTATAATATAGTTTATAGTTAATTCTATATATATATATATATTATATTCACTGCCTATGTGACCTAAACAGCCCAAAACAGCCCCAAAACCAGGTGTTTGGAACCTCTTCCAGGCTGGGGGGGAAGCATCTCCCAGCTCCACATGGCTCACACCATCACAGCTGTCCTGGCTGGTCAGGTCCTCAACAGGAGGCCTAGTTGCTTGGGGCGATCCGGAGGCTGGCGGTGAACTCCCAAGCCGTGTGAAGCAGCTGGTGGCCGAACGAGGCGACGCGGAGAATTGATAGTGGCTATGACTTTAATTGATAAGTTGATGGGGGCCAGTTTAGTAGTAAGATGCAAGTTTTGGGTGGACAGTTTTAGTTCTTTTTTATGATGGCATTTTTTGTTGTGGATAAGATAAATACGTATCAATTATCAGTTAATGCCGTTTCTCAAGTAGAGGAAAACCCCGGCCGGACTGCTCATAAAAGGAGTATGTGGTACCTCCAGTATAACCTTGTTGGTGGCTTCAACATGTCCATTTTCAACTTGCTTTGCCAATGCCTCAAAGAAACAATCAACATATACCAATGAATACTGACATCTCATGACTCATGAACATCTTATTCAGGTGGGTTGGATATGGTTGAATCCACGAACCAAAAAGCAAGTTAAGGAAGGCTTCGGAGTTTTGGCTACCCGCAAACAGGTCTTGCGACAAGGGGAGACCAGGTCTTTCAGCATGAGCAGGGAGCACCCCACATAACAAGCAAGCCATGAAACATCGTGAAGCCACCCAAAACCTGGTTTGAGTTTGCATCATGCAAACAGCTGGTTCATGTGGATGTCTACAACTCAGGTCCAGTGAGGCATGTGCAGGGCTCCGACTATGCCTTCGCCGCGATCTTGCATGATGGAGGTGTGGTCAGCTGGGGCGAGGCGGCTGCTGGTGGAGATTGTAGCGGAGTGGAGGAGCAGTTGAGGCTCGTCAGAAGAGTTCTTTCGAGGCTTCCACAGAGGCCCTTGTGGAAACCCAAAGCACCATCCAGAACCAGGCTGGTAGCGTAGTATCTCAAAAGAAGGTCTTGGTAGACGAAGATCTAGGTGATCTTCAGGATTCCGGCAGAAGCCATCAGAAGCGACTGCGCCTCAGCCCTTAGCTGCTGCACTTTCTTTCTCGGAGGGCACCCTGGAAACCACCGAGACATCAGGGAGTTTCTCCCAAGGAGCGACGTCCAGCAGCTGTGCTCCTCCCATGCGGCCTTCGCAGCACTCAAAGCCGATGGCACTCTGGTGGCTTGGGGTGACGAAGGCTATGGCGGGACGCTGGATGCGGAGGTGGAAAAGTTGCGAAACTTGGAAAGGAGTGTGGAAGAGTGCGGTAGTGTTGGATCTTGAATCATAAAACAGTCCCCCCCTCGTGAACATGACCCAGAAGAAGACTCAAGTTGCATGGCCTGAAGAAGATCGTGGTTTTTGGATGGTGAAGATCATTGTTTGTTTCTTGGTACTGGCGGTCTGGTACTGCTTCTACTGCTTGTCTTCACGTGCCAACACGACCCCCCCCAACAGCGCACACTTCAATGCTTGACAATCGAACCTCTTTCTTGGGGGGGGATCAACCATTTGACCCATTCCACCCATGAGGCTTTACTCTTGACTTCAACCTAACCGGACTTTCATGACTCAAGTCGTTGTCCCATGTGCCTCTGGACCCCACCGTGCTTAGGAGAGGTCCATCAACTCCGCGCCAGCGCCAGCGCCTTCTGCGCGCTGGTGGGTCCCGACCGTCGGGCGGTCACCTGGGGCGACCCCGACGGTGGCGGGCGAGCTCCGTGTGAGCTGAGCCAGGTGCAAAGAGTGGAGGCCTTTCGGTGGTTCTGAGGGTCCTGAGGTGGCATGGGTCGTGGTCGATGGGAGAGGAACTGTGAGGAACTCAGTTGATGGGTCTGGGTTCCGAGAGATGGTGTGGTGGAGATGCGCCGTTTCGCCTTGGAATCCACAACCAGCGGAAGGGGGGATGAGACAAGACCAATCGGTTTAGACGCCCAGCAACAGTTGATCCAGAAGGCATGGCCTGGAAATCCCACGATGGTGGAACGATCCCAACATGAATTGTGGATAATACGCCAATTGTCAACGACTTCAATTTCATCGAGTTTTAACCTTGCGGAGCCAGAAATCTTTCTATATCTTTCTGTCCTCACGTAGATTATGCTTTGAAGACGATATAACACAATTAGGATGAAAGATTCTATCATAGAATTCTATCACTTACAAAAGACATTCTCCCCGGTCGGGATCTACACTTTCCCTCGACGGGAACAAGCCTAGGCCTAGCGTGATCAGTCAAATCCGGAAATAGGTTTGGGAGGTTGAGCCAGTTGGATGCCCCTGGCCGTTGTTCCCACAAGAAGCACCACCCCAATATTCATAAAGCGACCACAGAAAGGACGACACAATCAAACACATGGGCTCCTTCTGTAAAACCGGGGCCCGACGAGAGTCAGGGTATATAGTTTGCATATACATATACACATATCTACAATATATATATATACCTCTCGCGCCACACGATCAAGTGAGACCGTTGAGGGTATGCAGAACCCCCCCAAAAAGATCGGTATGCAGATGTGTTTCAAGCAGAACATGTACAAGTGTGGTTGAAGACCTAAGGAAAAATCCAGAATAATGACAAGTAAACATTGAGTGAAGTTAACAGGCAGGAATATATTTACTATTCCTAGAACCAAGTATTAAGGAAGCAAAATGAAGGGAAGATAGAGACAGCAGAATTACACAGAAGAACATAATACGCTCTCTTTTTATCATGCATTTTCCTTACAATCTTTTCTGCTCTTGCTCTTACTAGTGTAGATAGAATTCCTTACAATCTTTTCTGCTCTTGCTCTTACTAGTGTAGATAGAATTCAAACAACATAGGGTCTAATATATAGTAATAATGATTATTTATCTTTTGCTATCACAACATATAGCATTTTTATCATTAAAACATTTTAGAAGTCATTACAAATAATAATATGATCCAATAAAAGGCATGAAACCTAAGAACATAATTTTGTTGGATCATGAGTGCTTATCAGAAAAAAACGGTATACAAAAGCTAGTCCTGTAACATATTTACATCAGGCAAGACACAAGAAATCAAACAAGCATCAAAAATGCAGCTATTCCACCTGTTCAGCTGCAAAAAGCTTCCTTCCAAGCATTCAGGCTGCAACCACAAAATAAAGGAACGCAAGGGAACAGGGAAGGAGGAGGGTTAGTGCGCTGCTGCAGAAGTGCAGCAAGATGGCCTGCAAAGTCAGAACAACCCCAAGAATAATCTGCTGTATTTATTCAATATACATGTTTCTACTTTGTATCTATATCTTTCCTAGGATAAAACATATCTACACTTTTATATTTGCTAGACACTAAATTAATCTGTGCTTCAAGAGTACATGATGTGACGTGCATATACATGCATGTAAATCATAACCAACCACCGATCTTGGGGGGTACCATTTATGTATAATGTATATTATATATATATCATCAATACTTTTTAATTGTATATTATATCTTTATCGTGTCTTGATGTAATACTGACTTTATTTGCTAGCCTTTTAGCACTCAAGCCGACACTAGCCGAGAGCCCTTGCATTCCAGCACACTTCGACAATGGCAATGCTGAACGCTTTTCGTGCAATTGTGCTTCTGGCTGTCTTGGTGGGTGTGGCCCTTGCAACTGGCGAGAATTTACCTTCAGCGCCTTGGGCCTCTGAGGTCGAAGAATACGCCCGAAAGAATTGCTGGTGGGGCGCCACACAATATGCAAGTCAAACGAGGAATTGCTATAATAACTATTGGTCGGGCCGCTATTGCAAAGAGGAGAAGGTTTGGGGAATGCGTTGCCATTGGCGGTAGCATAGGCGCCAGCGAGTTACACAGTGATCGGCAAGAGATGGCAAGAGTATTGCCAATTTTTTCTGTAGTGGCAGAAGGAACCATTTGTCACATTCAGCGAGCGTGCGAAAAGAAGTTTGTCGTGAGTTTGCTTCTTTGCTTTGCAGCGGTGTTATATTCATATCTTTACCTTAACAGAGAAATAATTACCGAGACTGGTTGCATCATTCCACTCTTCACGTATCTCATTTCGGCCTAGGCTTCTTGGAGCGCCATACAGACAATGGACCTAGACTCCTCAATAAGCTTGCGTCGGTTGACATCGCAAAAGCCACAGCCTCTAGTCAAAAGAAAGGGATACCTGTGGAGAGGTGCTTTCTCCGTCCGTGCCCGATTCAGAAATTGCACTTGCCAACCCTGAATCTGAGAGACAACGTTGGCCTTCAGAGCCTTGCCTGTTGGAATCTATTGATGACTTGGATCGAACATAACATTGGACTTCACTGCGCAGTTTGGTCTTGCTATGTGTGCTTCCACATGCGGTGACGAATGCAACACAGCCTTTGAATGGTTCATAGTTATATATTGTTTGCATATACAGTACATGTTTTAAACAATTCTTGCCAGACATATTCTGAATCTCACGGACAACATCAGGTGCCCCTGGTACTTGCAAGACCAAACGTGCCCCCCCCCGGTCCATTTGGGCGCGGCGGCGGTCAGGCCTCCAGCGGTGCCTTTGCCGCCCTTTTGGCCGA